TTATAAAGTATAGTATCGATACCTTTTTGCCAGACTATCATAAGTGCCATTTGAACAAATGTCACTTATGTTAGTCTGGCAAAAAGGTATGGATATGTTATGACTGTTTATTTTAATAGAAACCATGGAAACGAAACACACATACACTCAACACAAATGTATAAAGCCAGAGTCAAGTAAGTTCCCATCCTGTAAACTGGATCGAAACCTGCTAGACTCCTGCTAACTCCTCTTATAGTAATCAAGATCAATAGATTTATATGCCATGCCTTCTAAAAGGGAATGAAGGATGACTTACTATCATCATTTAAACAGGACGTTGCTGAAGGCTTACCCCTGTTATTTCGTTTGTTTGTGTATCTTGTGTGTGTGCATTCCTGTTGTGTCCCCAGTCATGTAAAAGTTTTCCTAGTCTCCTAATTTGGTTACTAGGTGGACCTTCTCCAACTAGTAGTCTAATCTATTCGATCTGTTCGGAAGCAGGAGGTACTTTTCAAACATAGCAAATAATATTATTAATAATAAACACTATTTAAAGATAAATACTAAATACATTTTTGTAATTGCCCCTTACCTTTCTCTTACACCACCAGGGTATATATATATTTTCCATATTCCCTTAATTATAGATTACCTTACAATGTTCGAATGAATATAACATTTTACTCATGAAAAATCTAATTTCATATTTAACTCTTTTTCAATTTCATTTGAAACAATAATTGGTACCTATATTACAATTTATTATCAAAGAAAATTTCTAATAAAGTTATAGCAAATCCTACTTAAACTACTGGTTGTTCTGCAGGATAAATTAACTTTTCTTGAGATTGATCTCTCTATAAAATCCAAAACCGACCTGATGTCCCCAAATTTATTTTCCAATGCATCCTGATTTAAAATTCTGCCCTTTTGTGATTCAATTTTTTTTTCTTCCTTTAGAGTGGCTGTTAGAGGTAGGTGTATGTAAGAAATAGCTAATCTCTAATCATTTCAAAAGTCCTTTGCCAATACTACATGTGCAGATTTTTTACTCAGCATACATTTTACTTTTCTAGTAGATAGGAACTTTGTGCTGCCATTAAAGCTGTCCATACATTCATCTACCTACTTAATGAACACAAGTAGCTGTAACAATGGATCTCTGTTCCAATTCACCTAAAATAATTATAGTCATTGTGTAATATATTATTAAACACACACATTATACACATATACATAATAAATTGGAAATTACTTACCTCTAGAAAGAAATGTGTACAAAAACGCAAGTTTGGTTCCAGAAATTGCATCATGCAAAAAATAATATGCAAAAATTAACATTCCCCCCCAAAGAAAATTAATTAAACAACAAAATCAGACTAAAAGAAATATACGGGGCCCAAATTAAATTAATTTTAATAAAATGCACATGTTCATAACATTGTCAGTTGTCAGTTTTAATACTTTTAATCGATATTTCGACGTCAAAAAACCAGCGCCCTCTGAAAATGGTGTTAGTTTTATTGGAGAGAGATATGTAAAGATCAATGTAAAAGAAAAAGAGGGTCATATATGTAATTTAAATGGACCACCGAACATATTTTCCTATTAAGTTACACGTCTCTGTTGTCTCTGGTATTATGCAACACAAGTATACTTATATTATTTTCTTTTTTTTTAATCTGAATTATGCTAAGATACGATTTTTTAAAATGTCCTTTTAAAATTGTTTACAAATGTATTCTGAAATTAGTATCTGTATTATTTGAAATAAAACTTATGTGACAATGAAATTTGGATAGTAAGACATTTGAAAAATACTCGAATTAAATAATTATACTCATTAGAAACTATATTTCAAATCAAAATAATATTTTTAGCTGGAACCACTTATTCACCATTGGGTGAGGCTACGGTGTTCAGGCTGGTCCAACAATTCACAGGTTATAGCTAAGGCTTGGCTAAAAGAAGGTCTCAAACCCAGATGTATTACTAGGGATCTTAAATGGGGCGTTCCAGTACCTCTAGACGGCTTCAGGAGTAAAGTATTTTATGTATGGTTTGATGCTCCATTGGGCTGTCTATCACTAAGGCATATACTAAAGATTACGAGAAATGGTGGAAACCATCAAAAGAAGCAGAAGTTACTTTGTATCAGTTTATGGCCAAAGATAATGTTCCATTCCATTCTGTATTGTTTCCTGCTATGTTGTTGGGTGCTAATAATGGATATGCCACTGTTAATCATCTGATGGCTACTGGTATAAACTTCTTTTATAATTTTGTATAGTCAGATTGTTATATTTTGCCGGTAGAAACTATGAAATATAAAATATTTTATAAATTTATAAAATTAAATCGGCCACTTCCACTTTAATAATCAGCACAAACAGGAGAGTATAAAATTTGGAAGGAAAGTCGAGTATTTATACTTTAAAATGTATTATTCCTACTTTGATATATGGCAAGGTTGTTTCTCGGATTTAGGGTGGGTTTATTAGTGCACAGTTAAAAAATTCCTTCAATCTTGCTGTTTATTTTAAATCATATTAGGCTAGCAGTTTTGTGTGGGGTATAATACATAAATAAAATACTAGCGTGGTGCAGTCTAAAGTGAGACATACTGTATATATAAGATATTATACACAATTTATTGTAGATCAGCACTGATGATGGCTTAAGGCGTAAAGCGCTTTATAATTTTAAATATTACTGAAGATTGCACCATTGTCACTTATCAAAACATTAAAAAAATATTGATAGAACCTATATTTATACAAATATCCATCAATTCCTGAAATTAAAAAAAGAATTTTCCATTTTAAATTTTATTTTATTTATTTAGATACCGCGACAACTAATAAATGATTATTTTTTTGTAGAATATTTAAATTATGAAGACGGAAAATTCTCAAAATCACGAGGAGTCGGAGTTTTTGGAACAGATGCCTAGAGCACAGGCATTCCTAGCGATATTTGGAGATTTTATCTTCTTTATGTTAGACCGGAATCTCAAGATTCTTGCTTCAGTTGGAACGATTTCGCGACAAAGAACAATTCGGAATTACTTAACAATTTGGGAAACTTCATCAATAGGTAATATTCAATTTTGAAATTCATTTTACATTTACATTTATTATAAAAAATTTTTTGACTTTGTTTTCACTGCTAACTAAATTTTGTATTACAATTTTATTAACCTTCACCTGGTGTCGTGGGGTACGTACGTAACAAAATGAAGATAATCTGTATATAAAATAATTTTGGTTCATACTCGTTTTCTTTTCCTTTAATTTTTACCGTATTTATTAAATTTTAGGGCTCTAGTTTTCGCAAAGAACAATTTTAATAAAACCATACCTCCAATAAACCCGTCTGACGAAGATTACAACCTTCTGGCTTTATGCACAAGAGAATTCAAGGGTTACATGGAATCATTAGAAAAAGTTAAATTGAGAGATGGTATTAGGCATATTCTGTCCATATCTAGACATGGTAATCAGTATATGCAAGCGAATCAACCTTGGGTGTTACTAAAAGGAACTGACGAACAAAAGTAAGTTTTTTTATTTTCTTTTATTTTTTGTTGTTTAAACATTTTTTTTTTTTAGATTACGTGCTGGAACTGTTATTGGTATTTGTTGCAATTTGGCCTGTCTTATTGCCACACTTTTACAACCTTACATGCCTGATACAAGTGAGAATTTGAAGAAACAATTAAATGCTAAGAACCTTGTTCTTAATCCAGAGTAAGTAGTCAACTTTTGCTGTTTTTAGTCAAACCAACCTGTTCATTTAAAAAAAATATGATAACATCGCAGTTTTGAGATATTTTATTTGTTTTTTTATTTTATAGGGTTCCTGAAATTGTTACCATGCTTCCGCCTGGACACAAACTGGGTGAACCATCACCATTATTTGCTAAAATAGAGCAATCTACTATTGATGAATTAAAACAAAAATTTGCTGGAAAGCAAGAACCTAATGCAACTAATGCTAGTGGGGATTCCTCAGATTTGAAAGCTTTAGAAGCTGAAGTTACCAAACAGGTACAATTTATGAAGTAAATTTTTCAATCATTGATAAAGGGTATGACATGACATTCGGCAAATAGGTAATAATTGTCCGGAAAAATAATTTTTGGGCCTTTCCGACAGACATGTCAGAAGTAGTAAAAAGTTGTCCTTCTTTCTTCGAGTCTTTTGACCTTTTTCAGAAATTGTTGCTTAATGAAGACACAGTTAATTGTCTCTTCATCTGGTTGCATTTTCAAAAAAAAAAAAAAAAACAAACTTTGGGAACAGTATTTGTATTTTTGTTTATTATACAATTCATATGTCTGTCCACAATATGCAGAAGCCCGCAAAAGTCATGGATTGGGAAACTCTTTGAAAGATATCCTTGGAGTCCTCGAACAGAACCCAAGACTGATAAACTTTCCGCAGCCTGTTTAATTTAATTTTTAGAAAGTTGATATTATGTATCTACTAAATTATAGTTTATTAAATTTCATTGTATCGTGTCAATAACCATAGCTGTTGAAACACGTTAATTGTTAAATAAAAAAAAAATGAACGCCACAATTGCTTTCGAATAAGAGACATGATTTGTCATCATCAGATTCCCATTTAGTTTTCTTCATCGAGAATCTTCCTTATAAAACAGAAAATGGCAGTAGAAGTAGATTTCAATTTTTGAAATACAAGTTTTTTTTTTACAATGGTATATGAATTCAAAAATTGGAACCAATCTTCTAGACATAGCTATTTCAAATATTAAAAAAAACTTGAAAGAAGACTGTGGTCTATAAGTTTCTATAAATAATAGATTACAAGAGGCTACTACCACTTTCAATCTCGATGGGAAAACTTATTACAATTGTTGTTTAGGTTAGATATACCGTACTATTTGGAAATTATTTTCTGTATATACTACATAAATAAATAAAGAAGTGAATTAAGCCAAAAAACTAGAAACTCATTCATAAATTGTTACGCTAATAAAATAATACAAAAAACTACTTAGATAATTTTTATATAAATTCTAAACAAACAAATTTATTTTTTATTCTTAACAAGTTTTAATTCTGGAATCCCTTTTTGTCTTGTAATTGACGTTTTTCCTCTCATATAGTTGTGCAATACTTCAGGAAGATGAATAAACCCTTTCTCGTCCTGACCATTTTCAATTAGAGCTATAAGTAGTCTTGGAATGGCACAAGCTGTCCCATTAAGAGTGTTTACGAATTTGGTAACTCCATCTTTCGTTACATATTTGATGTTCAACCTTAGAAAGAAAACACATTTTGAATACCTACATTAGAAAAAAATATAGATCAATGTTGTTTATTAATCAGTGTCGGATTGGGACCTGGAAGGGCTACCGTCAGGAGGGCGAAGGACACACTTTTTTCATGGTTAATGGTCAGATTTTTATCGAAGAGCAAAAACAAAGGTCCTTTCATGTAGAAGATATCTCCATAAAATGGAATTCATACAAAAGGTAGACAAACAGGTACTTGAATCGCTAAATACAAAATATCCTACAGCCAATAATTGCAAGTCTCTGACTTCACTGATTATGAACAAGGACGTAGAAATGTTTCTCTCTTTAAAAAAAAAAGTATAATTTTTTGACAGAACTACAAACTTTTTTGCCGCTTTCCTTTTATGAAATTTATTGTTAGAAAAATTCTTGCATTTAAATTACGAGGGCCCACAGCTTAAACGAGGGCCTACCGGTCTTTTGACCGGTAGACCGACGGCATAATCCGACACTGTTCATAATAGTTTAATATTATAAATCTACAAATTACAATATAATTTATTTTTTCTACTACCGTGCGTAAAGTACGTACTTTACGCACTCCACGAAGTGTGTAAAGTTGTACTTTTTTTCACTAGTGCGTAAAGTAAAACTCTTTACGCACTAGTTAAAAAAAGTAAAATTTGACAAAATTTGTACATAACAACAAAATATAACGTTTTATTTTATATTAACATTTTTTTGCTATCTCCTTCTAAGAAAAATAAATAAATTATTTTTGCTTATATCTATTTAGTGTCCAACAAATTATCAACAGTTTATTTTAATTATAATTTTCTCCAAATGTCATCGATTTAATTAAAAGTAAACATACAGTGGATGTCGATTTTGGTAAAAGTAAGTTGGCCGTGGCTGTGTGGATTAGAAGAACTGTCAATCTCTAAACTTTTAATTAGTACCTACCTTATAACAGAACACGACAAAAGTATACTTAAGTTCAAGATTAGATTCTAAAGCCAATTTAGCATTTTTTTAAACTCAATCAAGTTTGAGAAGGTAAAAAGTTTTACTTTTTAATGTTTGTTTACTTAAAATCAAATTTTATTTGCAGTTTATTATATCTGTCATAATCGATATGGATTCAAATTTATCTAGCGATAGCGAATTTGATAATACTCCTCCAGATATCTTATGCAATGCACAAAAGGCCACTGAAAATTTATTGCCAGAAAAATCTGCATATATTTATCAGCAAAAATACAATGCATTTATAGAATGGTGTAGAAAGAATAAGGTGACAAAATATTCGGAAAACGTTATTTTAGCATATTTCTCTGATGAATTGAAGAATTGCAAAGCTTCTACCCTATGGTCGATTTATTCTATGCTTAAAAGCACCTTAAAATATAAAAACAACGTTGATATTTCGAAATTCAACAAGTTAATAGCGTTTCTCAAACAAAAAAATAAAGGTTATAAACCAAAAAAATCCAAAATTTTTAAACGAGAAGATCTAATTAATTTTCTGTTGAAAGCTCCAGATTCCAAGTTTTTAATGATCAAAGTAAGTAAATGCCTCAGTAAATGCTTGAATACTCAGTATAAAATTAAAATATTCTGTAAAGTTTTGCAACGAGATGTGTGTTCGTATGGTGTGTTGCCTAACAAAATCAGTTGCTGTCCTAACAGGCCACCGGGGTTGTTAGGCAGCACATTATACCTAAAACTTTTATATTTTTTACAATAGCATTTATTTGGAGTTTTACATGCGCAACGTCAAGATATTTCCTAATGTTTAATAAATTATTTGTAACATTACAATATGTTATTTTTTAGGTAGCTTTTATAATTGGAATTGCGGGAGCTTGTCGCCGGGAAGAATTATGTAAAATGACAATTAACGATGTGGAAGATAAACAAACAGTGTATATTGTCAAAGTATCAGAAACCAAAAATGGAATAGAACGCATTTTTACGATTTTAAATCCAAATAATTCTGCAGTTGATTATTTATCTTTCATAAAAAAATATACCTCATTAAGACCATCAAATATAAATTGTAACAGATTTTTTTTAAAATTCGCAAATGGAAAATATTCTAAACAGCCTGTAGGGATAAATACTTTTGGTAAAATGCCAAGTGTTATAGCAACGTATCTAAACTTGCCCAATCCAACGGCTTTTACAGGACACTGCTTTAGGAGGTCTTCAGCCACTATGCTGGCAAATTCTGGAGGAGAACTTCTAACGGTCTAAAAACATGGAGGATGGAAATCATCTACTGTTGCAGAAGGCTACGTAGACAGCATAATAACACAAAAAAAGAAAATTTCTATTAAAATTTTGATGGATGACAGTATGCCATCCACTTCCAAACAAAGCTACAATTTTACCGTTGAAGAATTAGTGGAACCACTCGACAGTGAAGCTAGAGTTATACAAAATATTTCAACCTCTTTACTTGAAAAGGCCAAATCCATACCACTCGAAGCTCAAAATAGGGCTACAGAAGTAATACCACAACATTTTTCAAACTCTGTGCTGGAAAAGGCCAAAACCTTAAGTTTTGGTAATTGCAATAATTGCACATTCAATATTAATATTCATAAGAGTTAAAAACCTATTTTTTTAAATATTTCTTCATTTGTTCGTCATTTTGTTCTGTAAGAATTATAAATTTGTAAAGTTCCAATAAATTTATTTTTGTTGCTGTGTACAATTTTTGGCACATTTTACTTTTTTTCACTAGTGCGTAAAGTAAAGTACTTTTTTTCACTAGTTAAAAAAGTAACTTTTATATTTCTAATATTAGTGGATTATGTGTACGGTAGTAGAAAAATATTGTATGCCACTCGTGTGTAAAGTCCCTTTTTTGACTCATGTGATTCACATTCGTCAAAAAAAGGTAACTTTACACACTTGTTGCATAAATAACTATATTACACCTTTAATTAGGTGCACCTAGTATGTGCAACAAATTAAATTAAAATTACATAATTAGAAGTTATAAAGTGATTTTTATTAGCAGTGAAAACTGACAATAAGTTAACTTTCAAACACAGACTCCAAGAGGAAAGTATAGAGTAAGATGCTATTGAATAGATAGAGGTAGAACAATGCAAGCACTACCTCTGAAGGTGTAATCAAGTGTACAATCACTGCAGGTAGACAGACGATTCATGAATTGCTCTCTTTAGACCCCTCATGTAAAAATGTTTCATATTCATGTTACATACAACAGTGCATAATTCATTAAGACTAATAGAATAGTAGTTGCGGTTTAGTGTAAAATAAAGTTTAAAACCGTTAGGCATATTAAATTAGGTACATTAGGAATGATTGACTTATGTGTCTTCAGAAAAATTAAGTATATTAGGAAAGATTGACTACTTATGTCTCTTTCTAAGTCAATTCCTGTCTAAGTAATTGACTTATGTCGTGTTAGTTCGTATAATATATACCTACAAAGGTTAACAAAAATTATTTTACGTTACATACGTCCATGTAAACGAAAACCAGTGTATATGGATTTAAAAAATTGTTTTTCCAAATTTCTTGGAATTCACCCATAATCTATTAACTCTTTGGGAGACAAAATGATAACATACCTTTTAGAAATAACTCCAATAAAGTATTTCAAATACTAACCATAGCTATGCTATAGGAATACATTCCTCGGTATTTCAGACCGAGGTATACGCAATATTGAAATGTGCAAAAGCGAACAATGAACAAAAACGAACAATGAAAGAGCTGTCGAAAATCAGCATATTCAAATAATGTCAGACAGCCAAGCGGCACTTAAGGCCATATCGAGTCAGAAAGTTACGTCGAGGCTGGTATGGGAATGCACTGAAGAATTAAGAACACTGGCAGACCGAATTAGAGTAAAACTATTTTGGGTGGCAGGTCACCAAGGGATCGAAGGCAACGAAAAGACATACTGTGCGAATGCGAAGCTTTAGATCGCAAAAGACAGGCACTTTTTGGACAACCCCAGGTTGATCCAACAACGTATAGAACCCACTGACCCAAGGATCTGTACAAACTTGTACAAAGTACAAAGGTAACAGAGTGGGTGCTATGAACTAACATGGGGTAAAATACAATAAGCCAATAGGCTTCAGTGTTATTCGGAGACATAGTCGGGCGAGCCTAGGAGACGAAGATATCTCCATAAAATGGAATTCATACAAAAGGTAGACAAACAGGTACTTGAATCGCTAAATAAAAAATATCCTACAGCCAATAATTGCAAGTCTCTGACTTCACTGATTATGAACAAGGATGTAGAAATGTTTCTCTCTTTAAAAAAAAGTATAATTTTTTGACAGAACTACAAACTTTTTTGCCGCTTTCCTTTTATGAAATTTATTGTTAGAAAATATACCTATTTTTAAAAATTGGTCGTATTATATAGGTATAGATATATACCCATTATAACTTGGCAAACACACTGTAAAATATAAGAATGCTTATATGTGATGTATTACGTAATTCGATCATGCGCATTAGACTCGAACAAGTTTATACATTAATGTTTTATCAATTCCAATAATTATTTATTTGTATATTGGGTGATTTCTACCACAAAATTTAAAAAAGTAACATCTGGACTGCAAGGTACTGCTATAGAAAAACAAACGAGATAGTGAGTTGAAATATTCAACAGCTGCAGCAAAGTGGCGTTAAGCCGACAATAAAAATGGCGAAACATTGCGTTAATAAGCAGTTGTACAGATAGTAACTTACATTTTTAGGTACCTCTCTAATACAAAGACCCTATGAAAATTTGCCTCTGTAAACGTACGCATTCAAATACCAAATCAGACTAGTTCTAACAAAAGACCACTCAGCGAGAGTCTATAACGAAATCTAAATAAGCTTCCATTGGCTGAATCAAAGTTTCTTTGTCACTAAATATTAATTTGATACAAATAAATGCGATGCTTGTTTCCTAAATAATCTTGAATTAAATCTATCATTTTATTATATCAAGTTCACGATTTATTTTCAACAATATTTACAAGTCTTCATTTAAACAAATCGTCGTATTGGTGGTGAACAGAGCTAAGCCACATTTTTAGGCAAAATGAGTTAATTATGTTACATGAATAAAACAACTCTGAAAAATACAATGGTGAAGAGAGATAAGCGATTTTGTAATTATAACCTTAAAATCCCACAAACTGAAAGAAGCTAGATGAAAATAAATTTCTCTTTTAGTGGTAAAGCATTTTTAAGCGACATACATTTCTTCTTTCGTTATTAAATCATTCTTAAAATGAAGGACGTGTTTTTGTTTGTACCAAATTTTATCGTATTTAGTACATAAATAACTTAAGATTTAAATCAAAAGTTGTTTTATCCTAAGAGTTGCAAACTTATTTACCCATTTTCTCCAATTATTAAGTGTGTGGCTTAGCCCTTTTCACCACCAGTACGACGAAATACAAAAATTGGTTCAAAATAATATCTTTTTCTGCCAAACACAACATTTGCTTTATGGAAATAAATGTATTTAAATTTAATATATTTAATGCTTGAAATAAATAATTGTCAACTTGAATTTGAAACAAATTGAAATGTATATTCAAAGAAGTTCTTCTATTAGCCTCTTTGACTGAGAGTTCATTAAAATAATATAGCCAATGTTTAAAAAAGATGGGAGTCGTTTTGTTTAAAAAATAAACTATACCGTTTGAATACAAATTAATAAGAGTAATAATTTTCAGAAATACAAAAATCTAAACTATAATTTTCTTCAATAAATACACATAGATCATCACTATCAATAATCAATAATTTTAAATTTAAATAAAGAAGATGGTGCAATTTTAACGAGATTTATTAAAGGTATATATTATAATCTTAATCCTCATCAGCCAAAATATCAAACCACTTGGGACCCTGATGATAATATTTAAGTTACAAACTAGTTACTTTAATGACATTAACTTCTGCCCATAGCATGCAGACTATATCAAATATTTTGTTAGTAAACATTGATGAAAAGGGGGATGGAGACATAGAAATGCGTATTTGATAAAGATTAATACATCTTTACTGAAATTTTCAGAATTTAAAGAACAACCTAGTCTATGTGTGGTAAAAACCTTAAAATACTACTTGGAAACAACCAATAAACTCAGACCACAAACAAAAGATAAACTATTTTTAACATGGAATAGGCATACACCACGGGCCTCTTCTGTCGAGGTGTAAATATAGACGGTATTCAAGCCACTGTGAGCTGGAATGTTTTCATAAAATTTTACAAGCTATCAAACAACCAAAAATTAATTTGCGAACACATTGGTCTCTAAAAATTCTATCTAATTATAAATTGTTACTATTAATTAGTTATTATTATTATTATTATTGCAATTTTTCCTTTTTTTGTTATTTTCGATAATTATTACATTGTTCAGTTATAATGGGTATCTGTTGTATTGAAGTGAAAAATTAAAATTATTAGATTGCGTACTTTTTCTCTTGGTACATCCTACAGGGTGTAATAATCATGTAAGACAACAGCAAAGAATAATTAACGGATGATCGACTTACCTGTAAGGATGATCGATTCGAATTATTCAAGCTGTTGTCCGTAATGATTATTACGGCCCACCCTTATCCCAATCCCATCGCAATCTAAAAAATCAAATAATGCAATGAATCTCTCACATACCGCAGGAGGTTATATAGAAATTGTTTTATCTTGGTAGTTTTTTGTACTGATCAGTATGAGTCATGCATACTACAGGGTGTAACAATTATTACGGACAACAGCTTAAATAATTCGGATCGATTATCCTTACAGATAAGTCGATCAATCCGTTAATTAATTGTCTCATCTTTATTTTGCTGGATGCACGGTTTTGACTTTTTTTATAATAACTAGTGATTAACTTTTTAGTATTTTTAGAAAATGATTTTATATTTTTTTATTTTTCTTATATTACAGTGTAAAACATTGAAAATTTTTGACCCAACAGGTGTCATAAATCTTTCATTCCCATCATATTTAAAGAAATGAATATTTAACATTCTACAACTGGTACTTGTGTAAAAATATATTAATCTGACATTAAGGGTAGTCTCGATATCTAATAAGACTTCAAAATAGTCCATTCCTATGATAAATGATTTTGAGATAGTAATTCTGTATTATATTCAGTAGTTTTAATGCATTTTCATATAAACCACACCATACAATTATTCCATATCTTATTAACGATTCAATCACTATTTTAAATAATTTAATAAACAGACAATTTTTACCTTCTTGATTGATAATCTGTACAATTACTACAACTGGAAATTTCTCCATAAACCTGCCTTCCAGGCATCCATGCCTCTATGTCATATTTTCTATATGCTTGAGCACCTAATTCATGAGGTGGCATGTCAAGTACTTGAAAATGGAGTCCTAGAGAACTGAATTTATTTTCTTCCCAATTTTTTATTTCTTCCAATGTCTCATCTGATGTTTCGGGAGTTGTAATCATGAACATTTCAACTTTGGTGAATTCATGAACTCTAAGAAAATATAAGAAAAAATTACATTTTTTGTAAATTAAAATAAAATATGGAATAACAACAATTATAATAGATCATCCTGTAAGAGGATGTCTTGTAACGGTCTCCAGGGAAATGGATGAGGTTCAAGAATTATTTAGAAACCCTGTAAATAATAATCGTTTATGAATATCAAGTATAGAACTAGTAGTGATTAAATGTAGAAACTTATATTCTTCATCATTTATGTTACAGGACTATTCCTATGGATTTTGTTTACTAACAGAATTTAAGAGGCTAGAAGAATTAACAAAATTCTGTCCAAAATCCATAAGAATATTCAGTAAGTCAAAAATCAATACCTGTATATTCCTCTCTCTTCTGCAATACTAGAAGTTTCAGCCCTGTAACACCTACTCACTGCTGCCAACTTTTTAGGTAAATCTGCTTCAGAAAAAGTATCCCCAGCAATATATCCAGCCAGTGCCATTTCTGAGGTTCCCGAAAGGCACATATTTGATGCATGTATCTTAGACTCTAGTGTATATACCTAAGAAAATACATTTTATGTACAATGCAAGTTTGCACACAGTTCGCAAGACAATTGAATTTTTAGAGTAAGAAAATGTTGTACTGTTAGACTATGCTCCATACAGTTTAATTCTCAACATTTTTTTACCTTTCCAAAAATCAAGAAAGGACTGGTTCCAGTCGCAAGAAGTTGCAGTCGATGCTTTCAAAAAACGCGATTTAGATTACCAACAAAGGAGTTGAATAACTGCCAGAGTTGGTTAGAACGAATGTAAAAAAGCATAAATCTTTGTGTAGAATACTTATAAAAAGAATAAAGTTTTTTAAATTTACCTACAATTTTATTCCAGTTCAATATTCAAAATTAAAAAGACAACCCACGTATTTAAAGTCATTTAAAAAGTAATCCAAATGTATTTTCATGATATATAAAATAAAATTTTATTTTTATGCATTGTAAGAATGTGAATGGGTACACAAAAAAAATTGTATATACTTATAGTCATTGTGATAAAATCTTATGATAATTGGGGTTATATTTCAATCTGATCTCTTTTTCTCAGCATGTCGACTACATTGGCAGGAAAGCCTTAAAACAATTAGGTTTCATAAGGACACATTCAGCAGCCTATGTGAATTTGCATGCGATTAAAAATCTTATTTTATTCACTCATAAGGTCACATTTGGAATATTGTTCTGTTGTTTGGTTACCATATGCACAAATTCATATTGAAAAGCTTTAAAAAGTGCAAGGTAGATTTTTAATGTACAGTTCTTTTAAACTGCCACTACTGTATTCTTATACAAATATGCTTGCCACAACAAATAATGAAACTGTTTCCCAAAGAGAATTTATTGATTTTTTATTTATGTTTAAATAAATGGCCTTGTTGACTATCCTGAACCATTGCAAAATGTAGATTATATCCCAGCAAGGCCTTTACGTGGTAGTTGCACATTTAGTTTGAAAGCTATGGCTCAGAAATTGGTATGATCAGACTTCTGAAATATTTATATTTTTAACTCTTCCCTATATCAAGTGAGAAGAGTTGTGAGGTAAAAAATATATGTCAGGTGGTTGCATTATTATATGTTTTTGTAGGTATAGCTACCTACATATAAGTTATAAAATGTATAATAAATAATTACCTGGTTTCGCTCTCCTCTGGTGTTCATACCACATCTTTCAATAATATCTCTGGGTAATATATCAGGTACAGAAATAACTTCAAAACCAGACTTAATCAGCTCATCTATAAAGTAATTAATTAATGCTTGTTCTAATTCAGCTAATTCACCTAGAATATAATAACTTCTGTTTCCACACACATTTCCCAACTGTTCTGTCCTTACCATATTTAATCTTTTCACTATATCACTAAATTCTAAACATTTAAAAGTAAATAGTTTTTTATTGTTGACTACTTTGATAATTTTTGGCTCATCACCATAACTAACTATATCAGGATGAGTTTGGTTGGGTATTTGAGAAAGTTCTTCATAAAATTGTGTTTGAAGCTCTTCATTCTCTTTGGCATTAACTTCAATTTTTTCTATTTGTTTTTTAAGTTCATTTGCTAATTTAATGTTACCTACGCCTTTTCGACGTAAAATATTCTCTTGAATTTGTCTTTCATTGTTGGGATCGCAGAGAAAATTTATGTTAAACTCAGGATACTTGGGTATGTTCCAAGCAATAGTAGATTTGCAACATTTTATACTGTTTGTAATTCTTAACGTCTTTCTTATATATCGGCAGAACATATTAATAGTTTTAAATAGTCATATTTTCAAAAAAAAATATTTAAATCTGACATTAAGCATAACCTCAAATTTATAATCATTCTTCTTTTTTTGTGTAAATCTTGAACTACGTACGATTGCAACCGTCTTCTTCTTCTTTAATATGGTTATGGGCTTAATCCGAGGACTATCCACCCAGGAAAAGTTATTTTTTCAAATTAGGTTCAAGTGGAAAAGCTGTACCCTCCTGCGTCGGACTTCTGTCCTCACTCTTCCACTACACTTGATAATTATTTTAAATATTCTTCAGAATTCTTAGCACTGAATATTTTATTTAATTTAGTATACTTTTTAAAGTTGGATGATCACTTTTGAACTTGATATTTTGTGATTATTGTAGGACTTGAGGACTCCCGATTCGGAGACCGCTATTTCAATGTTGCCACACCTATGGTTACCACGACGATGTCCGAATCGGAAGTCAATAGCAATGGTCTATTATTGAAAGCTCCCTGGACTCACTTTTCACTGTTGCCTCTCTACTGTTATACATTATACATCCATTTAATAAATCAAAAACAAGCATAACATATTGTAGAACGAGTAAGGTGGCTTTGCGGTAACGCATCTGCCTCGCATTCAGAAGGTCGTAGGATCGAGACTCCTGCGCTGCTTGACCTGCTATGGGTTTGTCATAGGTTTTCTCATAGCAATCAGCAAATGTTGGGTCAGTAACATCCTCTTAGATACCTACCACTATAAACTATTCCTTCAACCCCATCCCCTCAGACCCGATCCTTACCATAAGGCTGAAGAGGCTAGGAATGCCTGTAAATGCCCGCTCCCAACTGGAAGAATGAAATACACATCCTTTACGGTTTTTTTTAGAACTTATTTATTTTTTTTAAATTCACATATCATAATCGTCTTGATGATATAATTCTGATAATAATCTGTATACGTATGATGGAGCATTGCCTCCCCTAAAAAAGTAAATTGAAAAACTTTTATCCTCCTAGGTGTAATATATACTTACTGATGAGAAATGAATAATGTTACAAGCTCAGGCGGTACGTAATCAAAAATAGGATTATACACTTCAATATCGTTCAGTATCTTGCCTGCAGATTGTGGAATCACATCTGCTGGTGATGCACAGATGTTAAAAGCCTCATGATTGTTAGATACAACATATAAAGGAGTAAATTTGTACATGTGGGAAAGAACAACAACCTAAAATATTCATACCATTATTACATTGCTTCTAAAAAATGTGCATAATTTCTGTTTTTTTTTTTTTTTTGTTAAGTCTGTTATTTGATTTTTCCAATTATAATTAATTTCAGATAGTTTTATTACAATAAAAATGTAACTTACTGGTACAGAGAATTGTTTAGCAGCCAAAGCTACAGCATGTATACCACTTGAAGCTCTTAAACCTCCATTAGCTAAGACTGTATGGGTACCTATAATCACTTTGTTCACCCTAGACATCATGGCAAATACTGCAGAATCGGGGATGACAGTGGTTTGGATGTTACTTTTAGCTAAACTAGCTGCCAATGAATGGCCCTAAAAACAAAATAGATAAAAAATACAACCCCTAATTACAATAGAGCTAATAATTTACTAATCATTTACTAGATTACTTGGGTATCATTATTGATAAAAAAATTAAATGGAATGATTAATCATCTAACAAGTCGGAAAAATAAATAAAGATTTATACAAAAGTGGGTTGCTACTAATGATTTACAGATCATTAGTTGAACATATAATTGGACACAGTATTCTGGTCTGGGAAGGTTATATAATGTTTGTTCGTTTCTACAAGAATAAGTTATTTTGTTAGATCCAGGTTAGAATATACTTACATAATAGAAAGGTGCTCCTTCAACAACCACAACCTTAAAATTTCTATCTTTGGCAGCACATTTTAAAAATTTTTCCACTGTATGCGATTTACCAACTGTCATGATCATTTCATCCATGTGAATATGTTCAGATGCTTGTGCTGCAATATTATCACAACTAAAAAATGAAATATTTTGATAATCATTTATTATTCAAATAGCCAAATTATTTTAAACAATTATTCTTCTCATTTTGGGTATACATACTTATGTGTTTTATGACTGAGTTTATGTTTGAGATAATCATTCATTTAATTCTAGAATAGTTAATTATTCTTTAGTTTAAAATTTTAGATTCACAGACTTACCTTGATTCTATCTCAACTTTATATTCTCCTAAATGATCTAAAATACTTGATCTTAAACTACTTAAAGATTCTGAATAATCTAAAATGTCACTGGAATTGGACGTTACTAGTTGATGCAAAGACTGACCTTCTCCTTTTTTCTAAAAAAAGTTTTTTTTTTTATAAACGAATTCATATGAAAGATAATCCAGTTGGTACCTTTGAAGCTGATTCGTATTCTTCCCTAATAATTTTTAAAATATGTCTCATAACATTGGTTGCAGTAGCTTCTGTAGGTAAATCATCTCGAATAAACTTTATCCTTGACTTAACTAATTTCATCAGCTCTCTAGCGCTCTTCCATTGTCGTTGTAATATTAGTTTTTCTAATAAGTCCTCTGTTTTCAAAGCTACATCAAACGAATTATATATTTTTCTATAAAAAATCAAAATATTGATTAGGATAATTTGCACAATATGCTTCAAGTTTCAGGTTTGTAACTAAGTACTTACTTATGTTTTATATCACTCACTAAATTACTAACATCAGATAAATTTTCTTGATCCAGCATTTTTTAAAATATAATGTACTTCTTGTTTTTTTAAGAAAAATAATAAATTCCTAAAATAAGGGAAAAGAGAGTGACAGTAATAAGTAAGGTTAAAAATTACTGTCAAAAATTCAATTTTATTTGCTGTATATCTGATCTGACGAAGGCAAATAGTTGCAAAAAACAGAAGAACATACTTTTAATAATGTGTGGCCTTTCTTTGCTAACTAGAGAATTAAACATTTCTAGTAATTGTTCGCGGTAAAAATGGTGAACTAATTAACAAATGATTTCATGAGACATATTATTTGCCGACGTTGCAAATTGCAAGCATGCAAGATCATTTGTCAATTTGTCATTTACGCCATCTATCAATTTACGTTTACATTGCAATAGTAGCAGGATTTTATATCAAAGGAAACTGTAAATTATTATTTCGTCAATCTGTCTAAGGTTACGGCGTAGTTACGGCTATGGAGTGTAGAGGTAAGGAGAACACCAAGGCACAGGATAAAGATTGAGCTATATCAAGCTAGCGGGCACTCCGTGGCGGCACCATTCAAGACCTGGCGGGTTTTTTGTAGCTTTTCTGTAGCTTTTTTGTTATGCTATTTGCGAATTTGTAGCTTTGCCCAGTTCCGAAAAAACAGCGGATCCGCTAGCTTGAATTTCCATAAATTCCATAGTAGCGGCACAGATTCAGACCCAGCTGGTTTTTCATAACTTTTTTGTAGCTTTTTTGTTACGCTAGTCTCCCTTTTGTAGCTTTTACTGAACCTGATAAAAGCGCGGATCCGCTAGCTTAGCGGATATTTGTAGCGGCACCAGCCCGGACCCGGCTCATTTTTTGTAACTTTTTTGTAGCTTTTTCGTTACGCCTGTCTCGATTTCGTTATGCGAGGCCTGAACGTGAGTAATAATCGTTTCTCCATGAGCGCATTTACTCAATGATTGCTGCGTTTGAAAATTACCTCATTTTGCTCTTTTTACTCGAATTCGTTCTTTTAATACATCTGCGGCTTCTCGATGGGATCTGCTACGTGGTCTTTTAACGCAGATTTGGTAAATCGAGTAAGATCTATTTACTCCGAGTTAAATTTTAGAGCTTTCGGAGTAAATGGAATTTCTGTGACAATTGACAAAGTAGATGTACTTTTCTGAGATGTATAGACATCGTTCGTTGTCTCTTGTATTGCAGTTTATTCTTTTTCATGTGTTTGGTTATTAAAAAAAATATTTATAAAACATGTCAGACAGAAATGAGAACATGGTTTATTTTCTAGTGAAAGAAAAAAAGCGACAAATACCACAGATAAAAATTTACTTTACTTGGCAACTTGCAACAAAAACCACGAGACGAGAGATCAAATTTGATTTAAAAGAAAGGTTTACGTTTGTTATTTTAATGAAAACCGGATACGGGAAACACAAACAAATCCATAGCCGTTCTTTTATTCCACATAAGTTCGATTTGCTCGATGATCACGTGACTAAAAAATCTACTAGCTCTACTCCGCTCCGCGAGGTACTTTTCAAACGTAGCAGATGAGCGTAAGAGAAAAGTGCGTTAATTTAAAATCAAGTTTCGGCCTCTACAAGTAATATGTGCAACTCGATAGTGTGACTATATGTTGCTAGATGGCACCAGTATTGCATTTCTCGAATTATGGCCATCTTCCATCCAATATATTTTTGAGAAATTTAGATATAATCTCAAAATCGGACATTTTCAACGGTATGTATCTTAATTATTTGTCCGATATTAATGTAAAATACATATTGATAAGATTATTAAAATAGTTGTATGCCGGACGCCACTATTTTCCCGATCGGGTGTTTTCGGTTATTTTTACTGCTAGAAACTTACTGCTAACTTCACACCGGTAGTAATAGCTACCAAGCAATTACCTATTCTCACTATATACAGGGTGTTCCATCTCAGACGAGCCACCCCGTATAGTTCTTATCCCATAGTAATTGGAAAACTTTCCCGAAACACGTCTGATGATTTTCTTGGGGGACATCTTGACGTATATTTGAGGCATGAACGAGCAACAAGAGGGCGCTTCAACCCCTCAAAATTGAATAGGGAAGACGGGTTGGGTGATACTTCATTTGGAAGGTCCTGGAAGCCTCTTTACAACGGTGTATGAAAAAAATCACATTCTTGAAAAAAATCAATTGTTTTATCATGCTTACAATTAAAAAAAATCAAAACTGCCTTTTTAAATGAAATGTTCAATTTATCTTCCATTGACTTCCATGCAATAATAAATTCTCTCGAACTAATAAATAAAAAAAAATCAAAACATTTCCTTATCTTGTCTTTATTTTTTGTTCTTAGGTGTTTATCACGTTTCTTCGATCATTTCATGTGATAAAACAATTAATTTTTTTTAAGAATGTGATTTTTTTTCATACACTGTTGTAAAGAGGCTTTCAAGACCTTACAAATGATGTATCACTCAACCCTTCTTCCCTATTCCATTTTGAGGGGTTGAAGCGCCCCCTCATAGGGGGTTGCTGGTTCAAGCCTAAAATATACGTCAAAAGATGTCTACCAAAGAAAATCATCCGACGTGTTTCGGGAAATTTTTCCAATTACTATGGGATAAGATATATACGGGGAGGCTCGTCTGAGATGGAACACACTGTATAGTAGTTGTGATCCGACAGAATTAAACACTGGTCCATAAATACTGCAAAACGATTGGTTAAGGAAATCAATCAAAAAAGATGTAAGAATATTCTTGATTCAACAAAAGTATAAATACATAAACAACACTAAAAAACATTTAAAAACAAATGTCCGATTTTGAGATTATATCTAAATTTCTCAAAAATATATTGGATTGAAGATGGCCATGGTGCCTATTCTTGAAATCGGGAAGTGAGAAATATTGAGAGAAAATTCTCACTTTCTACTGCCTTGTAAAAATTCGTATTCTTGACATCGAATTCACCAATATTGGTGGAGAATTTTCTCTCAAAATTTTCTCCTACTTTTAGGTAGAGGGAATGAAAATAATGAGAGAATTCAATTCACAAGCATGCGCGTGCGTGTCAGAATTTAAATAAATAAAAATATTACTATAACATAACCTCATTTATGTTGTTAGTAGTTTTCAGGTATATTTATACCTTTGTGGTATTTACTTTCCCTTTAAAATGGATTTAGACGCGAAAATAATAAGAATAATTTTTATTCAATACAGATAAATTTTAGACAAAATGAAAAAAATGGTGCAACAACTTGTTTAATTATAAAGAGTAGTAGTGTAAAATTATCCCCTTACACTATAGGTATAATGCTCCCCTTTTCCAACAGTAATAACTCCCTCACATCTTTTAAATTTGTTTGGACTTGACTCATGTTTTTAAAATGATGAATTATTTAGGAAAGTATACCTTCTACAATCGTAGATCCAGTTAAACAGCTGAATAGCAAATTATAGGTACGTCGCGTACAACTTTTAAATTGTTTACTGGTCAACTAGTCCTCTGATAGTTCTCAACGTATTTTTGAAAAACCCAAACAAGCCTAATATGTCTTCCAGTGAAATCATATATTTTGAATTAATAGTTTTAACAAATGTATGTAAGATGTCCGCTAGATTGTGACATTTTTTACAAACATTCAAAAGGGTAGATTACAGTATATCGCTAATATATAGTTAGCGAATGGTTAGCGGATGTTTGCTAATCTCTCTAATATTATTAAGGACGTGGATATAGTCCCGTACGTGGGACCCGAAAATTATATCTGAAGTCCCGCACGGGCGGAGTTTATTCACGTCACGCGTTTGCGCGGTCTTCACCTGTGGTCTTCACTCTTCTGTGTTTGTTTTTTGTATCAATGCGTGTTGTATTACCCTGTTACTTACATACATTATTTGTTTTGTTGATCAATATCATCAATTAATTGATAATGGGATCTACATATGATTTAAAAGAAAATGATGCCTTCAGTAGCTATGAAGAGTTAAACAAAGCGATAACACTATATGAAAAACAGAATAGGGTACAATTTTGGAAACGAGATTGCAAAACTTTGGACAATGATAAAAATCACTGCCCAAAGTTATACCTACAGTAAAGCTAAGGCTGCATTAAAATATTATAAAATACTGTTGCATTCATGGAGGACAATCATTTCGACCAAAACAACCGTTGTCTGTTACTAAACGACGTCTACGTGACAGGTGAGTTATTTCATAGATAGGTAGAGATTAGGTATAAAATAAATAAATTCTATATTTTCTTTACAGCACTTTTAAGCAAGGTTGTCTAGCACAAATAAACATTGCTCTATCTGAAGATGGACAATCATTAGTTATCAAAAGTATGATCACTGATCACAACCATGATATTCCAACAATGTGAGTAGAAAATGACATTCCAGAAGTACATTTTTCAAGTATTTTATTTGTTCTATAGGGAAGTATTTAAACAGCTACCTAAACAAAGAAAGCTCTTTGATGAATATAAAAAAACAGCTTTGACGATGATGAAATTAAAAGTTAATAAAAAACTCTTACAAGCAGAGTTACTGGAAAAGACAGGAAATTCAATATTGCTACGTGATTTGTCAAATATCAGTAAGTCGCCAGCACCAGCAAAACTTAACTTCCATAAAATCATATCCCTTCTGAAAGAAAAGCATAGCTGCACAGTTGATGTACATGTTGAAGAAGACACATTCAAAAGCATATTTTTCCAAGATCCTGGCATGAAAAAGTCATTTTCCTTATTTCCTGAAATTGTTTTTATGGATGGAACATACAAGTTGTTAAATATTCGCTGTCCTGTATATATAATGGCAGTTGAAAATTCCTTTGGGACAACAGATATTGTAGGAATCGGCATTCTTACAAAAGAGGATAGTGAATCTATTGGCTGGTTTCTTAAAAAGTAAGTTTATGATTTTTAACCTAAAAGTGTTTAGTTATTTTTACCACTTATATTTTATAGATTCAAAGAAAGAAATCCACAATGGAATAAAATTAAGGTTGTTATGACAGACAAAAGTGCTACCGAAAGAGATGTTGTTAGTACAGAACTTCCTGGTGCCAAAAAGCTAATATGCTTGTTCCACGCATTACAAATTTTTCAAAGAGAGGTAACACCAGCAAAGCTAAACATAACAACTGAGCAATCAAAATGCTCCTTGCAATATTTAAATAAGCTTGCTCATTCGAAATCAGAAGCATATTATAACGCTACGTTAAACGAAATGAAGGAAAATATACCACAAGCAGTGGTAACATATTTTTCAAAAAATTGGGAACAAATTAAACATGAATGGGCAAAATGTTTTACAAAATATACCACAAACTTTTTCAACTTCACCAATAATAGACTGGAAAGCTTAAATTCCAAACTGAAATCTGTAATTTCAACTTACAGCACCTTTGATGAGTTCATAGAAAAATTATTTATTTTCGTTAATATCAAACGAACTGAACAAAAGAACGAGTACAGTAAAATGGTGCTAAAAGTACCTAGTAAGGATCTTTCGACGACAAATGTAATGTTTTATAATCATCTAACATACTATGCATATAAAAATATTGCGAAGGATCTAGTTGAAGTTCAATTATCTACTAGTATTCCTTATACATTTAACAGCGATGATTTAACTACTATACGTTGTATAACAAAGAACGAGATGTTTGTAATTTCAGAGACCACATGTCAATGCAGTTTTTTTATTTCAATGCATCTACCATGTAAACATATACTATATTATAGGAAATACTTGGGACATGAATTATTTTGTGATAGTCTTTTTAACAGTAGATGGACTAGATAATACATTAAAGATTTCTACAGTGGTTCATTACAGAATTCCAGAACGGAGACTGAACTAGAGCAACTTACGACATTAATAAGTTATTCCTCAAATACACGCCAAAAGAAAATATTGAATTCGCATGAAAAATTTAAAAAGGCTCAAAGTATTTGTCTTAATTTATCCACTATGTGTAGCGAAGTTTCAACATCAGAATTAATTGAAAGGATGAGTATATTACTTCAATTACAACGAAGTTGGCAAAACTCGAAAAAGTGCAAATAATTAATTCCGAAAATGCCCAAAACTCCAACAATTTGGATTTGAACGAAATATTTTCAGAACATAATTTTTACAGTAATAATAGTGACGTGCAACAGGACTGCCAAAACATCAATAATTTGGTATTGAATGAAGGACTTGCAGAACATGATTATTATAGTATTAATACCATAGCAAAACAGGATTACCAAAACACTGACATTATCAACGAAAGTGTTATTGACAGTATACTGGAACTAGATTTTTCTCAATCTGTAGAGATAGAAGAAGTTATCTGTAATATGAATTATTCAGAAATTGTTGATGATGGATCTTGTTTACACAACATATGTATGTACACAGTTTAGTTTTATGAACATTACATAGAATATTAATCACATCATATTTTTAGGAACCAATAAAAAGTCGAGGTAGGCCCAAAGGAAGATGACTAACCGCCATTGGTTTACCAAAAAAGAAGAAACGGACAAAGCAACAATCCTTCAAGATTAAAATAAACTACCTATACCTACTGCAAATTAATAATAATAATTTTATCTTTAGAAAGATTTACCTACATTAAATTTCGTTCAAATTATTGTTGACTTTTATTAAATAATTTGACTTCCCTACCTCTTATACCCTTTTAGAAGTGTGGTCGTAATTAACGCCCATTAATTTATTAATGCAATTTGCAGTTAAATACTAAGTACCTACTTATACTTAGATATATAATCTTGTCATTCATAGTTTAACAGACCCGCCCTTAACCCCCTAATTTAACCAAATTTTTTTCAGAATCAATAGGCGTTATTGATTCTTCCCGAAGATTTCAAATTCATATTGTTCTTTGTTTCAACGCCCCCCCCCCCCTCTCATTTATACCTATTCAGATTTTTTCAGAATTAACAAGTTTCATCCCCTTATAAAGATTGATTTTGACTATAAATTTCATGTTGATATCTCTTCTCGTTTTTAATTCCATTTTTTTTTATTTCAATTCCCTTATTTGAAAGCCAACCCTGTCTTTAAATTAACTTAAAAGTACTGAGTTGAAAATTAACGATATTTATCTCATTCACAAGTAAAACGACAAGATTCATTATTTTAATACGTAAGTACGTATGTAAGTTTAATTTCATATCTGAGAAAATAGGAAATGAACAGGACATGCTGCGGGAAAATGTACTCGTACTTCATAATATATATCAATGATACAATGTTGTTGAAGATAAACATTTTTATTGTTTCATATTCTTAAGTAAATGTATAACTTTATTTATTATATAAATAATATGCAAATTTAGAAAAACTTTTTAGAAGGTGATGGTAACATTAAACTAATTTTTTTGCAAAAGCAAGAGTCAGATGTGTTTTCTATAATCCAATTTAAATGGTCATTTACATTGGTAAATAGGGCAACGCTTTCTTCTTCACAGTTGTTTTTATCCCCGAGAACACCTAAAATGTATTAAGTTGTGAGTAATTTTGGGAAAGTTTAATGTTTTATGTATTAAATTTTATATTAAAATAAAAGTTTATCCTACCCACTAAGTCATAAATTCCATTTTTCGACTTAAACATTACAGGAGCACCGGAATCATCCTAAAAAAGTTAATATGCTTGTAAATTTGCAGAAACTACAGAAGCAAGAAATATTTCAGTTAGTCTGTGCTTTTTTTTTGCAAAATGCAGTCTGTATTATTAAAGTTACATTTTACATTGTTGAAATTACCTTACACACGGGACTAATCGAGCCGATAACACCAATACATCCTTTATCACTAGTAACATATCCGGAATTTCGATAATTTTGCATACATTCGATGTGATTTAGAATTGGTAATCCTATTTTTTTGGCTCTACAGGAATCATTAGCATTATTTGACCAACCATAAACCATACCAACTTGACTTATGTAATTGAAATCTAAAAAAAATAAGTAGATATAAAACAAGCTGCTCGAATGTCACACAACAAGTAGGTAGGTACCTCCAGGATGACTAAGTGGAAAGAAGAAAATGCAAGATTTTGTATTTAAAGTGGGTATAGGAAAAATTGTTTAAAACAATTTCATTTTATTTAAACTTAATCAAGCGATTTCGCCGATTAAGGCATCATAAGGACCTCGTCAAAAAACCAGTAAAACTAGGGGAAAAACATTAAACATCCATTAAGGACACAACATAAAGGCCCACCACCAAATTAGTATAATTCAGAATCTTATAGAGTGACAGTAATATAAGAACAAAATTTAAATAATGTAAAAATGTTCATGTTTTCTTATACAGAATCACCTTTGAAATTATTCCAATGGTATTTCGGACATCCTGTAGAGTTTGCTAATTAAAAATAGCGAATAAAAAATAATAAAATTCAATTTTGAGAAGATTTTACTTAACACTATACCGGCTTAATCTTTATGGCTTTTAAAATAATTTTACTCACGCGTTGATGGCAGGCAAATAGGTAGAATCCTTTTATCCGTTCTGACAGGTGCGCTTAGCCTTATTATAGCGATATCGTGGGCGTTTGTGCCAGAATCATAATCGGGATGGATTAAAATTCTGTCGACACTTGAGTTCATTGAAGTGACGTCGGAAAAGCATTTGTCCATTTGGCCGACGGTTATTTTTAAGTCCAGAGGGGTTTTCCTTTAAGACGAAAACAGGGTAAACATATTAAACAAAAATAAAGATGATAGACAATTACTGAGCCGTAATAAGTGTTGCAAAAAGTTACGGAAAACTTTTTCTGATTGCGAAAGCATTTTAAAGTACGCATTACGTACTATACCAGGAAAACACAGAAAAAAAATATCATCTACATTCAAGAAAAGCTTTACACTTGGAAGATTATATGTGTTTGATATAAAGCAGAGTTTGCTTCTTTTGCTGCTTTTTATACTATTATTTAAATGATATTGGACTGTTTGTTGATTGTGAATTCATTAATCTCTTTGCTGATGACACTCTGCCATGCTCTGATATATAAATCGAAAAAATTAATAAAATACTGGAGAAAGTTGCCCGGTATTTTCAACTTAACAAATTGAAATTGAATATAACTAAAACAAAAGCACTTATTTTTACAACTAAACATAAATATAGCTTACTTGATATCAATGATGTTAATTTACAAATAAATGGTGAAAAAAATCGCAATAGTCCCAACTATTAAGTATTTGGGTATCCAATTAGATAATCTACTTACTTCTAATGATTTCTTTAATTATATTAATAAAAAAAAATTGAAAAAATTATATTTCTTCTCTAGAATTTCAAATAACTTGTCAACTTCAACTAAAATAACAGTATATAATACAATTATTCAGCCTCACTTCGATTATTGTGCCTCCATTCTTCATTTATTTAATCTCAACAAGTTAAATCAACTTCAATAACTACAAAATCGAGGCATGCGCATAATATTAAAAACTAATCGTCTTACACCAATCGCCCCACTGTTAAATTCTCTTCAATGGTTTTCGATTTAGCAAAGGTTGTACATTTGACAATTATGTTTATTTATAAAATAATTCATTCTTTGGATCCATCCTACTTTCATCAATTTATTTGTTATCATGGGGATATTCATGATTACAGCACAAGATCAACTAACGATATATATACATTAAAAAAGTTAATTATTCGCAATCATAGGCATCGTTATTGTATAAAGGTTTCCAAGAATATAATGAACTGCCCAGGGGCTTGAAGGATTGTAATTCATTAGCAAGATTTAAAAAAAAAATACTTTTATTAAAATTTGATTTTAATTTTTATATATTTGATTATTACTTTTTTATTCTTCTTTTTTAATATTTGGGTTCATGCTTTCAAGTGTTACTTGTTTTATTGTTAATTAAGGCTGTCTAAAATCAAGATTAAAAGTATCTTTGTAATTTATTTTTCTTAACTAAGATTATGTTAATCTTAATAATAATTATCTTTAAGTTTTAAGTGTACTGTATTTGTATTTCTATATTTTTTTTTGTATATTAGGTGTATCCTACTTCAAAACAAGGAAAACAAGGAGGTAATGCTGGGAGCATTCTTGGATATCGAGGGTGCATTTGACAATACCTCCGTTGAATCGATCATTAGATCTCTCAAACACAGAGGAATCGAGGACACATGCGTGTCCTGGATCGACTCTATGTTAAGGAAGAGAACTATACACACAACCCTTATGGGAGAGACAACAGCGGCACGGGTAGCGAGAGGATGTCCACAGGGTGGAGTGCTGTCTCCACTCCTGTGAAACCTTGTAGTGGATGGGCTGCTTAGGGCTCTCAAAGATAAGGGACATAGAACCCTTGGATATGCCGATGATCTAGTGATCATGGCACAGGGAATATACAACACTATAGTAAGAGATCGAATGCAAGAGGCTCTAAATATAGTAACAAAATGGACATAGGCGGAAGGACTAAACATTAGCCCAAACAAATCTGACATAATTTCATTCACCCGCAGGAGGAAATTGGAGGGACTAGGGCCTCCATCTTAAGGGGGAGATAAAATATCTCGGGGTTATGATTGACTCGAGACTTACCTGGAACCAGCATCTAGAAAGAACCACAAGGAGAGCGGAAACCTCATTAATCATGGCAAGGCATCCAGCTTAAGGGGGAGGTAAAATATCTCGGGGTTATGATTGACTCGAGACTTACCTGGAACCAGCATCTAAAAAGAACCACAAGGAGAGCGAAAACCTCATTAATGATGGCAAGGTGATCCTTTGGAAAAAAATGGGGGTTAAAACCAGACATGGTATATTGGATTTATAACATGGTGGTGAGACCCATAATAACATATGCATCTTTGGTGTGGTGGCCAAAGACACAGCAAAGGAAAGCAATAACGAGGATTAGCAAGGTACAAAGACTTGCCTGCCTCGGAATAACGGGGGCAATGAAAACAACCCCCATTGCTGCAATGGAAGCACTAATAGGACTCCCACCTCTTCACTATGTGATACAAGGGGAGGCAAGATTAGGTGCTTACAAATTAGGGAATACACTGGGAAATCTTGACATTAGGCCAGGTCACATGAGTATCTCAAGGTTAGTGACAGGAGACATGCTAGACATGAGATCAGACCACTTAACCAAGAGGTACTCTTTTAATACTCCCTTTGAGGTTTTAATACAGGAAAGAGCGGATATCACCATAAGGGAGCCCAGTGCCCAACGACAGGAACAAACCTGATGTACAGACGGGTCTAAGTCTGCGGCAGGAGTATTCTCTAAAAACCCTGATACTAACAATGCTATAGGAATACATTCTTCGGTATTTCAGGCCGAGGTATACGCAATTTTGCAATGTCGAAAATCAGCATATTCAAATAATGTCAGACAGCCAAG